CCTTTCCTTTCCTTTCCTTTCCTTTCCTTTCCTTTCCTTTCCTTTCCTTTCCTTCCTTTCCTTTCCTTTCCTTTCCTTTCCTTTCCTTTCCTTTCCTTTCCTTTCCTTTCCTTTCCTTTCCTTTCCTTTCCTTTCCTTTCCTTTCCTTTCCTTTTCCTTTCCTTTCCTTTCCTTTCCTTTCCTTTCCTTTCCTTTCCTTTCCTTTCCTTTCCTTTCCTTTCCTTTCCTTTCCTTTCCTTTCCTTTCCTTTCCTTTCCTTTCCTTTCCTTTCCTTTCCTTTCCTTTCCTTTCCTTTCCTCCCCTTCTCCTCTCTTCTCTACCTCTTCATTCTTTCTTTCGCCAACCACCATTATATAATTGTTCTCTGGACAGTCGTTTACTTTGACTCTACTGAATTTTGACGAAATTGGGGGGTTTTGTTATTGTTATTTGATAGTTTTCGATGGGGGCCAGGAGGGCTGCCCTTGTCCCAGCCGGTGGGTGGGAGGGGAGGGCGCTGCTTTGCAGGGGCAGGGCAAGAAGAGGGGCCGGGGGAAGGGCAGGGGAAGGACGGGGCAGCGGGAGGACAGGGCCAAGGGCAGGGCGAGCCAGGGACAGGGCCGGGCCAGGGGCAGGGCGAGGCAGGGGCCGGCTCTCCCACCCCACCCGCGCACCCTCCATCCCGTGGGAAGGGGAGGCGGGAGGGAGTGTTTACCCCCCCCGTCACTCCGTGCTGCGGACGGTAGCCGTGACCGAACGCTACTTCCCGAGTCAGGACTGTGACATTCACCCTCATCAGTTCCCTCCCGAGTATCCCCCGTGCCCCACGCGGGTGCCCCCGGCCGCTCGGTGGGGAGCCCCATCTCGGGCCGGGCCGGGCTCTGCCCTCTCCACGAGCAGCTCATAAAATTTTCATGATCCTGCAAGAAAGTGGAAGCCAGGCTTTCCAACCCGTCCGTTTGCTCCCGTTGACGGGAAAGTATTCCCCGCGTGAAGTGGATGGATGGGCGCTGCCAGTCCCACCACAGGCTGCGGGGTGTGAGCTTAGAGGCAGCAAAACGCCCTTCATCCTGCCTGGCATGGGGGGAATCGGCAAAATCCGGAGGTTTTAGGGGGGTTTATTTTTGTGGTTGTCGGCGGTGCAGTGAGAACCCGGCGGCACTGGGGAAATGCGGCCGTGTTGGCTGAGCTCTCCCGGCCCGCCGGCTCCGGGGAAAGCCTGCCTGGGGCTGAGCGAGGGTCGTTGCTGGTTTTCCCCTTCCAAAATTGATGCGAGAGCCCAGTGAAGGCCGGGCAGCGCTGGGCACATCGCCTGCGGCATGGCCAGCCTGGCCAGGGGAAGGAGGAGCAGCGACCTCTTCCCCTCTCCTCTATACTCCTCCAGTAGCTCCAACACGCTGGTAAAGCTGCCTCAAAGGCTTCGCTCGGAAATAAAGTGATGCCGGGTGTGAGCGGGAGGGACATGGGGGCTGCCAGAGGGGCGCGGCGCTGTGCCCAGGCTGTGCCCACGGGGTAGCCTCGCTGCCAGACCTCCCCCGGCGGCACGGGCGGGGACTGTCTGGAAACGGGGGAATCGCTGAAAACCCGACGAAATTCGTGCATGCCAGAGTTTTGCAGGCAGCCACCCCGCTCTGGAAGGGCGAGAGGTGCAGCCCTTCCCTGGACTCCCACTACTCCTCTGGGCATTTTGGCTTCTCAGCACCTCGTGGTTGGTTTTTTTCCCCGAGTGTGGGGAAAAGCTAGAAGGAGGGTTTGCTCGGGGGAACGGCACGAACGGCCCCGGAGCCTTCCCGCAGCCCGGCCCCGGCCGCAGAGCCTGCCCGCAGCCCGCCAGCGGGCGGGGGTCGGCCGCTCTCTCCCTCCCTCCTTCCCCGTACCGAATTCACGGGTTATCATCCTGTTTCTAAACTTCTCAGTGTCAAAAGCGCCGAGCAAAAGGCAGGGTGTGTGGGGTCCGCTGCACCCGCACACTCACCTGTTTGCGAGACGGAAAATATATATACATATTTTTAGTGACTGGTAGCATGGAATGAGCCTTGTTGAAACTACGCGGGGAGCATAAGGGAAAGAAATCTGGCTGGTGTGCGGAGAGGTGATATTTGTAGGCACCAGATCTGCGAGGGGAGGCTGAAGCAAAGAAGCAAACGAAGCCAAAATCGCATTTCCAAGCCACCTCTCCCGGCGACCCGCAGTGGTTCCCAAGGAAAAGCCCCTGCAAGCCGCGATGCCGCTGGCGAGTCGCCCGCAGACCGGCGAGCAAACGTACTGCTGGGGAATGTTTCTACAGAGATTGAACTCCCAGATAAAAATAACCTTGGAAAAAAAAAGAGACCATTCAGATTTTCTCGGTTCGGTATCAGATCACCCCTTCACTCCCCACCGCACCCCCCCCCGCTGCCTCTGCATACCTGAGGTGCTGGATTATTGTCAGAGGATAGGCAGATGCAGTAATTGTTTTGTACAGCTTTGTTTATCTCCTTCTTCGGAGTTTACTTCAGGAATTCTCTTCCCTGTCCTATGCAGGGTATAAATAATCCCGCAAAGGAGTGGGATAACGAATGGAAAGGCTAACGCGGTACCGGCAGTGAGTGGGCAGGTAATGAGCAGTTCAAGGAGGTTTGAAGTTTTTATCAGTAACTTGGGTCCGCCCGGGAGCGAAATATTTGAAGTGCAGCACCTTGAACACTTTTAATTATGGGGTAGTAGCAAAGCGAGAGCTTCTAAGTAATTAGAAAATACTTCTTGGGAGACAGGCTAATCGCTTTTCATGGGGCGCTTGAAGAAATTAACCTTTGGGTGCTTGTTTGAGCAAAACAACTTTGGATCAGCCACTGCTGGTCTTCGCCGGTGGACCCCCTGTGAAATACAAAGGAAATAGGGAGAAAGATTTAAAATTAGATAAAAATAAAATACCTTAAAAAGAAAAGGGGAAATAAAAAGAATAAGAAAAAGGAAAGCAAAAAGGAAAAGAAGAAGAGGAGAGGAAGGACTCTCTGCCCCTTTCCCTCAAGGCGGTGAGTGATGCGCGTCACCGCAGGGAAGCCACGTCCAAGTGAAAATGTCACTTAGGGGGAGAGCCGAGGGTCGCGATGCGGCGGACACCGGAGCCGAGCCACCACCTCCCAACCATGCTCGGCCCTTCGCGGGGCCGCGCAGCCCTTTTCCGTGCGCCCCGTCGGGGCGGTGGCACCGTGCGGGCCCCGGGGAGGGATAACGGGCCGGCTGCGAGGGGAGGAACGGCGCCCGCATCCTCGCTCCTCTCTCGCGCGCCCCGCCGAGGATCCGTGCCCCCCAACCTGTTCAGCCCCCTCTCGACCCTTCGGCCATGCAGCCGTACTTGGCTCCCTAATTTTGTTTCAGGGTATTTCTCCCTAAAGACAACAAGCAAAGCAGCAGCGGCAGCTTTCCCCTTCTAAAGCGGGGGCTTTGGAGGGGTCCGGAGGTAGACAGGCCAGCGTTTTAGGGGGGAGCACAGCGCCGCAATGCCATTTGGGGAGCAGTCAGGGCAGATCAAAGGCTCCTGTCCGGCTGCGGGAAGGACGAGTCAATTACCGCCGAACCGCGCGGCGGGGAAGGGACGGGCCCCCCCGGGCAGCCCGCGGGCACCGGGCCGGGCCTGTTCCGCCCCCACAACTCCCCCCCCCGGACCCCTTTGTATCGCCTCCGCTCGCTTAATATTATTTATGCGTTTCTGCAAGGAATTGTGGGATGCCGGCCCCCCTCCCCCGGTAAACACCGGGGCAATTAAACCCCCGATAACTCATCTCTGGGAAAGGAGTACGGGGGGGACACACGGGCCGGGGCGGGGGGGTTGCTGCGGTGCGCGCCCCGCGCGGGGGCACCCGCATCTCCCCCCCGCGCATCCCCGCGGCGGCCGGGCCCGTCCGTGGGAGGGGCGTGGGCGCTGTCACTTACCGGGGCGCCCCGCACCACGTGTGCGCTCGCCCGGGCTACCATTGGCCCGAGGCACGTGTCGGAGCGCCCGGGCCGGCGACGTCAGCGACGGGGGCCCCGTTAAAACCTAAAAGGACAACAACCCGAGTGGAAGTGCCCGGGCGCGGCGGCGGCGGCCGCCGGGGCGTAGCGCGGCGCAGGGAGGGCGGCAGGGCAGGGCGGGACGCCCCCCTCCCCTCCCCACCCGCGGCGGCCCCCGCATGTGCGGGCGCGGGGTGGCGCGGGGCGGCGCGGGGCGAGGCGCTGCCGGCCGGAGCCCCGCGGGGCGCCCCTCACCGCCCTGCCCTCCGCGGGACACCGGCTGCTGAGAGCCCGCCTACACCCCGCCCCGACACCGGCGCTTCGGTTTTTTTTCTTTGCGCACCCCCATCCCCCCCACTACCACCCCACCACCACCAACCCCCTTCCGCCCCCCAATTATTATTATTTTTATTACCACTAATTTTTTTTCCTCCGCGGATGAGGCGCGGCGGCGGCGGCAGCGGCGGCCGGGGGAGCAGGCGGCAGCGCGCCGCGGGACCGAGCGGCTGAGCGGCGGCGGGAGGCGGCGGAGCGGCGGCGGGAGGACCGGAGCCTCCTCTCTGTGTTTTCATTTTTTGGCAAAGTTGGAAGTGGTGGAGGTTCGGCTGCTGGCTTGGGGAGGGGATCTCCCTGCATTTGTCTCTTTTTTATTTTTTTTTTTAATGACTCTTTAATTTTTTTTTTTTTTTTTTTTTTTTTTTTGCGAACTCTGGATTTTGAATGCCCGGCGAAGCCAGGAGAAACGAAAGCAAATAGACACCTGTGCGTGCGTTGTATATAGACATATATATATAAAAATATATATATTAAAAAATTAAATAAAAAACAACCGACAGCAGGAGCAACAACAGAGACAGCGCTCGGCAGCTCCCGGCCGGCGGCGGGCGGGCAGCGGAGCCGTCGGCGGGGCGGCCGCGCAGCATGGAGGAGGGCGGCCGGAGCCCCCGGGAGGAGGCGGCCGAGCCGCAGGAGTCCGGCGGCGACGCGGAGCCCGGCGGCGGCGGGCGGCGGGGGCTGCTGCTCCCCCCCGGTGACCCCCCGCACCCCCACCCGCACCCGCATCGCATCACCAACTTCTTCATCGACAACATCCTGCGGCCCGAGTTCGGGCGAAGGAAGGAGGTGGGCGGCCCCGGCGCGGAGCCCCGGCGGCCCGGCGCGGAGAGCCGCCGCAGCCCCGCCGCGGCGCCGGCCCCCGGGGCTGCGCTGCCCGGCGGCGGGGCGGGCTCGCCGGGCCGGGGGGAGGGCGGCCCCGCCGGGCTGGCCCTGCACGGCGCCGCCAAGAAGGGGGGCGACCCCGCGGCGCTGGAGGCGGCCCTGAAGGCGCGGGGGCTGAGCGGCGGCGACCTGTCGGTGAGCTCGGACTCGGATAGCTCCCAGGCCAGCTCCAACGCCGGGAACCAGCCCATGCTGTGGCCCGCCTGGGTGTACTGCACGCGGTACTCGGACCGGCCCTCCTCAGGTAAGCGCTGCCCCGTCGCGGCCCCGCTCCCCCACCGCTGTATCACCCTCCCCGGGCTCCTCTGGCCGCCTCCGCCCGCCCTCGCGGCCGGGAAGCGGCGTGGAAAAGACCTCGCTCCCTTTTCCCGCTCCGTCTTCTTATTTTCTTTTTTTTCTTCTTTTTTTTTTTTTTTTTTTTGTTCTGGAGGGGAGTGGGTGGGGGAAGGAGTTGCTTAAAATGACCTGAAAATGCGGGGAGAAGAAGGGGTGGCCGGGGGTGCGCGGAGCCGGAGGGACGAGGAGGGAACGGGGGTCCCTCCCTCCCCGCCGCCGCAGCGGAGCTGGGGCCGCCTGGGCTCTGGGCATTTCTCACCAACTGCCGAGTTTTATCAAAGAGGGAGGAAAAAATTCTGGCTTTGGGTTCCCCGCTTATCCTCCCGGAGAGCTCTCCTCCCCGCCGGGAACCTCTCCCCCTCCCGCGCTGTGTTTTGGAAAGGGGAGAGGGCATTTCCACAGGCCTCGCCTTGTTTTGATTAGTCTTTTTTCGCCAAAACCAAGCCGCGGTCGTTTATTTCTCTAAAAGAGGCCTCGGAGCGGCCGCCGTTTCGTTTCTTTCTTTTAATTTCCCTCCATGTGCTGTAGGTCAGCTCTGTGGGGGCCGGGGGACGTTCCTAAGAACCAAGGAACTTCTTTGGCAAGGGCTTGGACAGAACCTCTTGAAATTATCGTAAAAAAAAAAAATAAAAGAAAGAAAATTTTAAAAAATAAAGCCAGGGGGTAAAATGTCCTTCTGCTACCGCGGGGACAGCAGGGCTGGTTCTGGCAGATCGGTAAAACCCCGTTTAAAAAGAAGTAGAAAGCGCTGGGGGAAGGCATGGGAAACACCAGACAGGAGATCTGCTCCCAGGGAAAAGAAAAAAAAAATATGGATCTTCCTCTTACAAAAGCAGCGAGGTAGGATTTTCACCCGGGAGCCGGCCGGCTGAAGGAGGTATCGTAAAACGAGATGAAAATTAGTTCGTAATGTCTGAAAACAAACTCTTACTCAGAGGTAATATTCAGAGCTGAATTGGAATTTACTCCATTGTTCTCCGGTGCTCTCCTTTGTTAATATTTAATTAACATACATCCTCACAATGGCTCGGCCCGGGCAGAAAAGGCTCCTTGTGCTGCCGAGAATAATATTCCCGAGAATAATCCCGGCGATTCGGATCGGGCCGTGCAGCGCCATATGGGCACTGCAGCGGAGAGGCGGAATGCTTCTCCCTAAGTAAACTGGAGGAGGAGGATTTCCATTAGAATTTTTATCGCGACCCACCAAAAAAATATTTAAAAGATAAGTAAAAAAAGTAAAGAGGTTTTCTTAAAAAAAAAAAAAACAACAACCAAACAAACAAACATATTTTTTCGGGGTGTAAAATTTAGCTCCGTGTGGCTGCTCCTGGTGCAGTTTTCCTTGCTGACCATCCCCGGGATGCAGAGGGTCGGTAACTGTGTTTGTGGCTGGGGGGGAAGGGGACGTGGGGGGGGGGGACGGCCGGGCAGCGAGCTGGGGCACAGGAGGCTGCGGAGGCACCGGGGTCTGCGGCTCCCGTTCCACCGCCTCCAGAGCATCGCCCTGGCAGCGGAGGCACAAAGCGGGTTTATTTTTCTTGGCGGGGGTGGTGGTGGTGTTGTCGGAGCGTGGGTGCCCCCCCCGCGGGACCGCGCCTGGCGTGGGGCCGCCCGCAGCGGAGCGTGGCGGTGTCGGTGCTTCTCCTCTCTCCCGGCCGTAGGTCCCCGCTCCCGCAAACCAAAGAAGAAGAACCCCAACAAGGAGGACAAGCGGCCGCGCACCGCCTTCACCGCCGAGCAGCTGCAGAGACTCAAGGCCGAGTTCCAGACGAACCGGTACCTGACGGAGCAGCGGCGGCAGAGCCTGGCCCAGGAGCTCGGGCTCAACGAGTCCCAGATCAAAATCTGGTTCCAGAATAAACGAGCCAAGATCAAGAAGGCGACGGGCAGCAAGAACTCCCTGGCAGTGCACCTCATGGCCCAGGGGCTCTACAACCACTCCACCACGGCGAAAGACGGCAAGTCGGACAGTGAATAGCCAAGGGAAAGGGGGGGTGGGGGGAAGGCGAGGGAGGGAGGGGGGAGGCAGGGGAGGGGGGCCGTTTGCAGTCAAAGTTTATACAATGCAATAATTTAATTAAAAAAAAATAAAAAGAAACATAAGGGCCAGTGTATAAAGATTATACCAGCATTAATAGTGAAAATATTGTGTATTAGATATAATTCTGCAATATTCTATGTATATATAATTTACAGGTAAGGTGGTGTAAAAATCCAAGATATCTGATTATAAAATATTTTTTGATTTTTTTTTTGATTTTTTTTTTTGATTGGTTGGTTTTGATTTCGGGGGTTTGGGCTGGTTGGTTGACTTTGGTTTGTTTGTTTGCTTGCTTTTTTTTTCGGTTGTATGGAGATTTTAGATGCTATCTTTATGATTTTTTTTTTATGCTTAAGTTACCTTTTATAGACTTAAGCGCAGTTTTAATGGACATTGGACAATGTTTTTTGAAATTCAAAAAAAAAGAATTAAAAACAACTTTTGCTGAAGTCCAAAGATTTTTATTGCTGCATTTCACAGGACTGTGAACTGAATAAATAGTTCTCCTATTTGTTCTATGAGTTCCAACTTTTTTTTTCACCCCACCCCTCCCCTTTTCTTTTTTTTTTCTTTATTTTTTTTGTTTGTTTTATTTTATTTTTTCTTCTTTTTTTATGTTTTTGGAGCTGGGGTGTCTGGGGCTGACTTTGGGGATAGACATGGAGAATTAATTTTAAAAGGAAGAAAAAAATATAAGTGACGATAGGGAGACAAATCTGAAAACACCTTCTTAAAACATGCTCGGGGGCCTCTCCTGAGCCTCTACCCCTTCATCACTCCCAGCGAGACCCACGGCCATCCATGGATGCGGAATGCAGGCTGCAGGCGTGGATGAGGGATAGAGATGGGGTTAGCACCCCCCTCCCCCCTCCCTTCCAACTTGTTGGGAAAACTTTGGGAACCCCATCTCCGAAAAGCGGGAGCCGCTCCGGGATACTGCTCCTTCCCGGCCCCGCTCCCCCTCCGCGGGGGGCGGCCGAGGGATGAGACCCGGCTCCGCTCCGGCATCACATCCCCGAAATATTTGGGAGCGTTTTAGCCCCCCCCCCAAATAAAGTAACGTTTTTAGTTCTCCCTTCCCCCCCCAGCGCGGTCCCCGCTGGCGCGATGCTTCGAGACAGCGTGCGGGTGGGTGTTTCTCCCCACGCTCCCCCCCCTCGTTCCGCACGCAGACACCCCCTTCTCATCGGAGTTTTTCGGGAGTTCGAGGCGCTGTGCTGTGTTTAACCCGTTTCTCCCGGAGCGAGGGGTCCCTCTCCCCACTCCGGATGGGAAATGTGTCCTGCGTGGGCCTGGGTGTGCGTGGGCAGCTGCTCGGGAACGGGCCCTCCTGCGACGCTGTTTAGGGGGTGAAAAACTTCTCGCTTTGCCTTAAAGCCTCTTTATTTTGCAGCTCTAATAGATACACATTGTACATAGTAGTATAAAATTAAAAAAAAAAAAAAAAAGAAAAAAAAGAATCCAGCTATAAAATAAAAAACTGTAATTTTAAATTCTGTGAATAACCATCAGCTGCTTAGGAGCCAGGATTAAATGACTTTGCCTTTTAGCAAGAAAGCAAAGGATTTTTTTTTCTTCTCTCCAGTTTATAAAACATGTGCATTTTACAATTGCAGTATCAAATATTTATAATCGGATGAAATATGAATGTTTTTATTTACAACTGTGTTCTCAACATTGTGAACATTCTCGCTGCATTTTGTGTGTTTCAATTCTCGAGGACTGCATTAAATAATAATAATTAAAAAAAACCAACCAAACAACCCACTTTATTATGAAATCCAAACCGTGTCACTCAGGCGTTGCAATGGAGCAGTGCTGTTAGGGAATATATATCCCTAAATGTTCATACAATCCTTAGCCTGCACTTCTGAGCACTGGAGCTGGAGTTAGAAGTATTTCGTAGTTTCAGCTCTTTACGGGGTGTGTGTGGGGAAATCCGTGGCGATTTATGAGAAAGGTGGTTTTGCAGCCAGGCTTTTCATCAGCCTTTTGACTTAATGAGGAAACTTTGGGGGATTCATTTCTAGCTGAAGGAGAGGACGAGCGCCAGCCGGCACCGAGCCCCTCTCGGGCACTCCTCCTCCTGCTCAAAAGGAGCTGAAAACGCAAAGGAAAATCTTTTTAATCTCACGTACTGTCAACAGGTTTCACCTTTTCAAGACTTTAAATACCCGGTGGTGTGATGCTCTGACAGGCTGCGTTTGGAAAACCTCTGCTAGAAAAACTCGTAACCCTGGAGCTCGGGAAGAGGGGATGGAATATTGCCGATGCCACTCCACGAAACCGGGCACCCTGTAAAATGCTTGGCAGCCCCGGGAAATGACAGTACCACGATTTTAGGACAGGCTGGACAAAAATAAAACGATCACCCGCCTTGCTGCGACAAAGGGCACAAGAGCTCCGAAATAGCTTTCTACAGGCAGGAGGAGAGGGAGGAAGGGCAGAGCCTCACTCACCCTTAGGGTCGTTCCTTCTGCAGGGGACGTGCTCTCAGATAAAACCAAGAGGAGGTGTATTTAATATTTTACTTTATATATTTTTTTTAAAAGCCGCTACTTTAAGATACATTCTGCAAGGGGTAAAATTCTCCAGGAGAGGAGCTGCCGCTGGCATGGTGCACCTGCCCGAAGAAACTGGGGCTGGGGATGAGTGCGACGGGAGTACCGGGGATGCTCCCAGGATACTGCGAGTTCCTGCTGCTTCCAAACCTTCTTTATTTTTCCAGCCTTTTTGGTTTACGTACCTATGAGGAGATTTATTTTTTTTTTTTGGCCACCAACACTAATAGAGGCAGGTGATTTATAATCCCGAGGGAGAAAATTGGTGGCAATGGGCACTAAAGAAGAGTTTTAAGTCTGGTTTGAAAGATAGCTCCGGTTGCTCAGTGGTAGAAAACGGCACCGTGGGTGTGTTACACGAGAGAGGATAAGTCCCACGGAGATTTTATTGAACTTTTTTTTTAGGAAGCCACTAAACCTGTACCGGGGGGAAATTTTGGCCTTGCTCCTAAGTGTGCAGGCAGGGGTGGAGTTTCCACCTGTCCTCCCCCCCTCGTAAGAAATACTGGGAACAAAAAATAGATGTGTGACACCAGCAGGCATAGGTATTTAGTTTTAGATTTTAAAAAAATCGTAGTGGAACTTCCCTAAGTTAGTTCAGTCTATGGAGGAAGGACAGAAAATATCACGCTGCTGCTTGGATTTTATCCAGATCAGAACACAAAATATTTGCCATTTGTAAGCCGTGCCTTCAGTGGGAGCAGCGAATTCCTCACACGGGCTGCACTTCTCACCTGCCTCCGATATTTTGGGGAAAGCTTCCACGGGAAGAGGCAAAGGTTCGGAGACACTTGCTCCGCTGCTGCTTTTCGCCACCCTGTGAGCGGCTGCTCGTTCCCGTGCACCGCCCAGCCCGCGCTCCCACGCCCGGGCAGCAGCTTCCCGCTGGCTTGGGAAGGATGGCACAGATAAATTACCCCTCGATAATTTAAAATTAAAAATTATTTTAACAGAATGAGCTGCCGCGCAAGCTCCTCTTGCAATTTTAGCAAAGCAACACCGGCTTTCTGAAACAGCCTTTTTGTTTTGGAAAAGGCAAAATCCCAACCCAGAGCAACCCCGAAGCCGAGCCAGAGTTTCCCCCAAAACCAGGCTGCGTCGGGGCAGAGGCAGGACTGACCCTGGAGTTAGCCACCGCCTGGCAGCGTTTTATTCCTGGCAGGCAACTCTCCCTGAGATTTCCCTCCCCCAGCTAGCGGGGCAGACTCCTTCCCCTCCAGCCAGAGCAGCAGAGTCCCATAAAAAAAGAATAAAACAGGAAAAAAAACCCGAATCAACTAACCAAACAAAACCACCAACCCAGGGAAGTATTTCAGGGCCGAACAAAAATACATCTGCACTTGCCCGGTGCCAACCAGCCCCTCCGTGTAATTAATTAAGCGTATTTCCCCCCTAACTCTGTTCAATGAGCATCTGAGCACTGAGGTTTAGTGAAGGTGTTCCTCCGCTCTGCTCTCCGTTAACGCAGGGTACGGCACATGCGATGTACAAAACCCACACCCAGGCACTATGTATGCAAATGCCCGCGCCATTGATTGTGAAATGCATATCAGAGTTAGAGGGGGAAACTATTTAGCCAGCTCGGGGTTGTGGAAAAAAAAAAAAAAAGTAATTCTGTATCCCGCTGATTTAATATCCGACCTCCACATTCAATCCCCGCCCATGCAGCTATCAAAAGTACCCCTGGGATGTTTGGATATCATCTCCAAACTAACATCTGTGATTATGAAATGCTCAGAAGGGGAAGGTTAATAACAATTTGTTTCAAAGGGCCAGAGTCAATTTTATAAACAAATTCGCGTTGCCTTAAAAACAAACAAACAAGCAGAGTGGAAACCGGCACCCGCGGGCAGGGGCTGGACCTGGGCACTCGGTGCAGGTTTTGTTCCCACTTCCCTCAGGGAAGGAGCCGGGGCAGTCCGGGGCGGCCCGGGAGCAGCAGACGGGGATGACGGCGTAGCAGAGGGAGAGAGATTTGTGCAGTGACAGCCCGGGGGATGCTCCGTGGCTCCGGCAGAAACGCACACAGACACGTTTGGGGAACGAAAGGTAGTCCCGTGTTTCTGTGCAGAAAATCGGGACGGTCCATGACTGTGGAACTGGGTTCTGTAGAGCTGGGGACGGGGCAGGTCTGGGCTGTGCAGCGCTAGGGAGGAGGGTATCCATGCCCTGGGCTCCCCCCTCACACACATCGAGACCAGCCTTGCAGCTAAAACCAACTAGCCCGTCCTCAATCTGCTCTGTCGCATATTTGGGACCCCTGGCAAACTCAGGCAAGGCTGACGCCCAAAGCCTGGCCCCGGCTTCGGGAATAAGTGGCCTGGATGAGCCCAGGCAGGAAGAGACGACGGAGCCGGCAGCTCCACAGACACCCACGCC